TCCCAGACTCCTTATACTGATCGAAAAGCTTGGTTTTCTGGGGCCGTAAACCATGCCTGACGCAGGCGACGGTGGTGAACGTTCGCATGGAAGCCGTGGCGTCGGCGGAGCGACTCAAGACGTCGGCAGGGGCCTCGGCGAGAGGTTACGTGGGATACATCGACATAGGTTTAGATAATTCTGCTGTTTGGCCAGACTCGCAGAAGTGGGTCGATGCCATCATGATGTCATGTGCGCTTTCCGTGGCTTTCCGCCTTTGTGCTTGACAGAGGATACGATGTACATCTCAGCCACCGCGAAGTAGCGCACCTGTCGACCCAAACTCCAGAAGATATTGCGCGCACCAGAGCTGGCCTCATAGGGGCCGTTTTCTTCAATCCCTTGATCGATTTCCTTGCGCTTGCTCTCACTGCCTCATTCCCCTTAAGCACCAGCAAGCAGATGTGTGCCAACACTCTGAATTGAACGTCGCAAAGCGTGAGGCTCCTGGAAAGTCCCTAGAACAAAACAATAAGTATCTCACAGTTTGTCTTTTAAGACGTCTGGATCCGAGGTGGCAGAGTCGGCAAAGGCTGCTCAGAAGATGGCCCAGACCAAAGTGCAGGAGTTTTGGTGTTTGGGGATCATTATCCCTATCAAAACCACGACCGCACCACCGTCATCATCAACAAGACCACTATCGCGGTTCTGTTCTTTGATTGTAGCAGCGGAAGCTGACGCAGGTTCGTACGGGGAATGATATTACTAATAATCACATCAATGCGAGTATCAGAAATATTTGAAGGAGGTCGAGCAGGAGGAGCTAGCTGACGATTGTGCCCAGTGGGTCATAGGGCATCGGGCATTCAGATGGAGTGAAATTATGCTGTTGTTGCATAGGATTCCGACGCCTTGCTGCGGGAATTCCAAGGTTTGCGACAGTCTGGGTTGCTGCCCCATGTTGGCAGATTTTGTTGGCAGATTTTATGCTGTTGCTCAAGGGTTGCGAGGAGGGATTGTTGTGCTTCCCGCAACTTGCGGCAGGTAGAAGCCCATGTGTATCACTGTAGCACCCTTGCCCCCAGGCCCTACCTTCTGAATCGCAGCCCATAAAATGGACTTAATGAAGGAGGTGCTGGATGTCGCTTCGGCATCCAAAGCAGCAGTCTTTAGCAAGGCCGGTCTGGGAGTGTTCGGGTTTGGGGTCAGACCGTCTGAGCGCTGTCCAGGACATTGGATTTTCGTGTTAAATAGTTCTGCTGCATATCTCTTAGACCCTTAAAGTTTTGAGGCTGTGCATGTCGAATTAGATCTGAGAGTTTGAGAACTTGCTTTGCAAGCCCCTTCTTCCAGATCTCATTCTACGCTCAAGCTTGACGGTAGGCCTTAGCGGCTGTAATCTCTGACAGACAATCCGAAGATGCATTACATCGGCGTTCGGAAAGTTTTGAGCTACGGGGCCTTGCTGCATGTTTACTGGACCTGGAATGCAAACATCTTGCGGAGTAGCGGGCTAATTTGTCCAACTGGGCGCAGCNNGCCTTGGGGCCTCCGCTGGGACTAAATAGTATTACCTTCTTAAAGCAGCGTATTAATTACTCCGCTAGCAGGGCCAGTGAAAACGGCATGTTGGGCCCCTTGGTTTGAGGGAGTGGGTCGAACTGTTGGAGCGGCGCAGTATGCATTCCCACAGAACCATGGAGCCCGAAAAGGAAGCCCACAAAGACTACTGTGCTTTGGACCGGATCCACATGGTGTTCCATGTTTGTTTGAGGTCCCAATCACGAAATCCAACACATAAAAGCCGTAAATCCTAACTTCTAGCTCTACATTCTACATAAGCCCCAAAGCTGCAAGACGCAGACCTGAAATCCTAAAACCTGAGCCGTTGCAATTGCATCCTACACGAGGTAAAAGAGGCAGGTGCTTAAACAAATTCTCCAAAAACTAAACAGCAGCCACATTGGACACCTGGATTTAAAGAAATACATTCAAAATCATAAAAACTCAGCTCGCATTCCGAATGTCAAGGAATCAAAGCAGAAGTCTGGCACCCTTGGCCCTTGGACTGTCGGAGGTGCCTTCTAAATACTGCAGCCTCACAACAAATTTTCCCACCTTGCGAATGATTTCAATGCTGAATGAAGCTGCATCCACCTCATTCGGAACCCGATGAATGAAACCTGATAGAAATCCTACTAACTACCTGTAGCAGTATGGACCAAGAAGCAGGTCATATTCCATGTTGTTCATCATTGTTGTAAGCGGTCTCAGCTTCCAGGAACATATTGCACCTTTATAGCAATAGCCTGGCATAGAGAACACCGCTGTTTGACGATGCAGCTGCCTAGTCCAATGTAGGAGAGACCACATGGTTGATACACAGCTACAGCCCTTTTCAGTAGTTCCGTAGACATCCCAGTTCGCTGATGGTAAGTACTACTATTTCGTATCATATCTGCCCGAAATACCAAAGCCCTATCCTAAAACCAACCTGCGCCTAACCCCTACCCCAGAACTCCAAACTAGAAATCTTAACCACGACATCTTGACCGGGAAGCCCCAAGTTGTAAGCCCTAAGCCGTCAGCCTGATGCCCTAAATCCCAAAGCCCATCAAAGCCCTACACTTCATCCCTGAGCCTTCCACATCTTAAACCTCAAACATCTTAAACGTCATCCTGAGCCCCTCACAGGCTCAGGCGGCCCGCGCTGCCGTGGAGGCCAGCTTCGCCGAGCTCCGAACGCAGGGTGTCCGCACCTGGACCATGAACAACTCCAAGGCACGAAGGGAGGTTTTGGGGGTGGAGAGCTCAGAATTTGAAGGTTTTGGGTTTAGGCCTCATAGTTGGGCTGTTCTTGTTCTTCTGATTCTGGTTGCGTAGCATCTTTCTCCAATCTTGGGCGCTTCTGGCGGTATTACATAAGGCTCCTCCTATCTTGCGCCGATTTGCTCGGGTCGGCTTCCAAAATTCTGCTCGAGCATTGTGGGCACTACCCTCGTGGCCATTCACCTCTGCAATATTTTAGGGGCCTAGATGAGTAGAGTGGGGCACCGGGGTATGCAATACGTAGACAACGATCTTGGACATTGTTCTTGGAGTCCTGTAGTTGTAATACAAGCTTCTACATTACAGGAGCTCGCAAAGTCCTGTTTGTGCAAGGTTCCTTTCCCCCTGCTAGTCACTACTCTGCCATAGAAATAACTGGCGCTTTCCTTGTGTTTGCTCCTTGCCCCCGGCGTCTGCAAAAGACCGTTCAGGTGCTTCGTCAGAAGGCCCTCACCACTGTACAGGCTGGGTCTACTTGGGCTTGTTAGGATTGATTGATATGGAATTAGAACGGGCAAAAGCCCCTTTGGTGCTGAGTGTGGCCCAGGGCCATAGGAAAGCGCGTGTCTCCTTCGTCCTGACAAGCAGCAGAGCTCATAGAGAGGGGCTCCATCGGCTCACGGGCAGAAGCTCAGAGGTCAGGGTCTACAGGTTGGATATGGTATGGTCGTGCAGCCCTGCGTCCCCTCTCATGGAACATTGGACAGTCTGCTCAGCTTTGACCTCCACCCTACCCTCCCTAGCATCAGAAACCCATAATTATACCATGAGATCCGATTCCTGGCTACATGCTAGCATGTACTGGTAGCAGGAGTCAACGATTTTGCATCCTACGCGATGTCAATTTCCCCAAGCCTCAGATCCTACCAGGCATTGAGGGATGCTGCCGTGAACCGTGCTCAGAGCGCCCGAAAGTCGACCCTTGAGCTGACCAACACCGCGCCACGGCTGCCACCTGTGGTTGCCTATTGGATGGACGTTTTGAGCAAGTTTTGAGAGTAGGGCTTTGAATGTCAACCCCGAGTGAGGCCTGAACTTGGAGACGCTGAATTTGGTTTCACCTTGGGTTGTGGATCTCTGGCTATTGTCCAGAAGTGAAAGCTTTTTCAAGCCTCGTCGTTGGCAGGGATCAGAGATTTCTATCCCGGGAAGGTTTCGGTACAGTTATGGATCTTTTGCGGTTGCTGCTGCTACACTGCTGCTACCACTGCCACCCCCACTACCTTTACTTCCACTTCAACTACAAGATCAGTAGTGCTCTACTACTACATTGCTATGGCTATGCTATGCTCAAGTCGGCTGCTATCCGAGATATGGGACCTAGACGCAGAGATAGACCTTCTATCGATGCTGGCTTCAGTAAGACAGTGTGTTTACCAGGGAAGTGCGCGTGTCACTCCGAGTGTCCAGACCTTTTTTGAGGGTTCATTCTAAGGTGCGACAGGCGGCAGTGGCACGAACACTTATGGTGGCTTGGTCCATGTTTATTGCGGCTTCTGTTAGGCAAGTGGTTGCGGGGTGTGATGCCCAGGGTTTGACATTCAGGGGTAAGGATCATGACATTTGGTCACCGAAAGTTTGAGGCATAGAAGGGTTACTCAGCGTCTCAGCCCAAGGACTTCCGATCCTATGGCAGGCAGCTGAAGATGTGATTGATTTCTTGCAATGTCTGGGTGCACAAGACACTTTATAAGCCAGGTGCTTGTGTGGGCCACCCCAGTCTGCAGAGCTATCACACCAGCTTATGCCCTCCGCTCTATCCAGCTGGCCGGTACCATGGTGTCCGCTGCAGACCGGGAAAGATGGAAATCCTCATATCCTAGGTCAAGGATCGGGTGGTCACGGCCCACTCTGAACTCCACGCCAAGGCTCCAGTTGGGGATTTCCACTGAAAAGTTGTTTCAGAAGACCTGGCAAGTTCTGCGTGTCAATCGCAGCTACCACAGTGAGTCATGTAATTTGCATTATTGCGACCCGGTTATTACCCTTCATTGTTGTGACAACTGTGGGTTTGCTGGGGACACACCAGTGATTTTACGAACGTTAGATACTGGCAGCGAGTAATAAGTCAAAAGCTAAGGTTTTTGACGAACTTGTTGGTCTCAGAACTTGTTGGTCTAAGTCCAGCAAACTGATATGGGGAACTGATAGAAACTGAGCCTGTTCGAGCCCGAGGCCCCGAAACCTTAGCCATGGACCTGATACCCGAACTCCCAAGCCGTGCAACTCTTGCTACCTTCATTCTGAGAAGCATTCCCTGTCTGTATTTTTTCAAGAAGTGGTCGAAGGCGAACAGCGCCGTCGCTACCGCCAAGGCAAAGGCTGTGGAGGTGTCCAGCAAGGCAAAGAGCGCTGCCAAGGAGCTTTGGGCTTTGGGCTTGCTTCACATGACTTCGGTGTGCAGGCGACCATGAAGGTTTGTCAACGGGATCGCAGGGATCAGGACTTTGCGTTTGCGGTCTTAAAACTCATGATGACTGTAGTGACTTTAGTTTGGGGTTTTGGGGGTGAGGGTGGGGTGGGGCGGTTGCGACTTCAATGTACGCCGTTCCGCATTTGTCTATCCTGCAGCTAGATGATATCATTCATGGAATCGTCAAGAACTGCTTCAGACTTGAGACTTGAAGAGCATAGGGAGAGATCTTTGCGAGTCTCATCAATTTGGATGCTGCTGCTTTTGCCTTCCCGCTGCTTTTCGACATGTGGCAAGACAAAATTTAATTGGTGACCTAGGTATGCACAACTTCTGGAGTTGTGATGCAGCCCCGACCATATGTCTGAGGAGCCTTGCTCTGAACTACTATAGAAAACTCATTGGGTTCATCCTGTGTCCAGGATGGTCATGTCCAAGCAACGGCGGCTGGAATTGCAGGCAACTAGTTCCGATATCTCTGGGCTCTGTGCATGCTGTATTTGCAGGCCTTGCTAAATGTTGCATCAGGACTGTAGGAGTGACGAAAACTCTGTGACTTCAAGACAGGGCCCGGGTTTCAGGCATCGTTCCGGCGATGCTCCGTACTCCTCCGGTCAGAAGAAGCTCTTCATGCCCGCTACAAGAACCACAACGCCCAAAAGGGTTCTAACCACGCAGATCGCTAAAGATGTATTTTGACAAATGAGATACAAACGCATCGATGTCACATACCCTGCACTTTCAAGCCCTGGACTTCAATGAGCACTAGAAGGAAGTCACTTGCAAGGATGAGCCCTCGGCTCTCGAACACCCCTAACCCAGGCGGTGCAGCCACTCTCGGTGCCACCGGCGGTGCCACTGGCTTGGCAGCCGGCACAGTCGTCGGGGCCGCGCTGGGAGCGCCTCAGCTGGCTTCGGGTTTACAGCCTTTGGTTAGGGCTCAGCGTGTAGGACCTGGTAGGGTTTTCACGGATTTGGGTTCTGAGGTTGGGGTTCATGGCCTGGCTGTATGAACCCGGCCTTGAACACTTCTGGATTCAAGGTCTACGGTTTAGCACCCTGAAGCCTAATCCAAAATCCAAAAGCTGCCAGGTTTTCGTGGAAGTTCACTGAGGTTGCTCCGGCCCTGTTCACCTTCGGCCTCTCCATCCCGATCGGTGCAGCCATCGGCGGCGGAACTGGATTGGCAGCTGGGATATATGGAGGATTTAGGGTTCAGACCTTATTGTAAATCATGGGCTTGCCTGTTTAGAGTTTAGAGATTGAGGTCTGAGGTATCCGGAGCTCTGAAGACGTAGAGTCCTACGGCGCCAACTCCCAAAACCCTCCATCCCAAAAGCACCTCAGGCCGTCGGCACCTCCGTGGGTGCCGCAGCCGGCGCGGTTAGCGGTGGCGCTGCGGGCTACGGCGCTTATGCCAAGCGCGGCGCCACTTGGGCTGTGTGAGCTGTATAGTCGTTCCATGAATAGCAAAGATCTTCATAACAGACGCTTTCCTGACCTTAGTGGGCGAACCCGTATGTCACCATGTAGTCATGCAAGACACGCCTCTGCGGATGAACACCTTTCTTCTCGCCAAGTGAAAGGCATACTTCCGTTATGCAGCCGCGGCCGTGAAGCTGTCAATCCCAGACCTTGAACACCGACGCCTTCAACTCTTAACCTCAATCCCAAAACCCCACAACAGAACCCGCCAAACGGAGATCAGTAGCCATCACCACTGCCGCCGCCATTGCTGCCACCACAAGTACAACAGCAGCGGCAACGGCAGCAGCGGCAACGGCGGCAGCAGCAGCAGCAGCAGCAGCAGCAGCAGCAGCAGCAGCAGCAGCACTAGCAAAGGCGACAGAGGCGGCCACGACAGCAACGACGGCAACAACAGCAGCAGCAGCAGCAGCAGCAGCAGCAGCAGCAGCAGCAACGGCAGCAACGGCAGCAACACCAGCACCAACACCAGCAGCAACAACAACAACAACAACAGCAACAGCAACATCACTGATGCTGATAAGAACAACTAGACTCCCGCTGCTCCTGCTCGCTGTTGATGCTGATGCTGATGATGCCAATGGTGCTGTTGATTATGAGGAGGGGTGCTGTTGATTATGAGGAGGAGGACCTTGATTATCATGGTCGTGATGATGATGACCAGTACCTTCACGGTGACAATAGTGTCGGCAAAAGGAATGAACACAAGCCCATGAAGACCCTATTGCCTTATCCTAGTCATCGCGCCCCTGCATAACGCCTTGGCAAAGGAGATCCAGGAGATGCGCAAGAACGCCGTGAGCAGGGTCTCCTCAGGTGCAGGGTTTCTTTGAGGAGTACGGTTTGAATCGGGATTCTGTAAGAGGTTGATAGAAATGAGTAGTTGGTGAGGGATTCAGAGCCTGAGGTTTGGGAGGTTCTTAAAAAGTTTCGTTTTTGTTGGCGATTTTTCAGCAGGGGCGCCTTCTTTCTCTAGAATGCACGCTGCTGGTTTTGGGGTAAGGGGCATGGGAATGAGATGAGTGGGCTCAGGGCGACTCATGTAAGACATGAGACATTGTATACGGGGTCTAGGGATTGAATTGGGTTGAGACTTGCAGGGCTGATGGTCCAGGATTGTGAATCACTGATGGGATCATGGGGATCTTATCGATCCATCTCGAAGTTGAGTTTGGGAGCATCTATGGGCCTCAATGGGTCCCTTTTTGGGGAAGTACATAGAGCCCTTACAGAGTTTCCAATGGTCCTCCGCACAAATTCCGTTGAAACTAGGAGGCCTTGCCTGCACTTGTAGGGCCTTGATTACCGTACTTCCCAGTATTTTCAGTCGTGAGGGTGGTGCTCCATCTGTTCCATCAACCATATGCGTGCCATTGAATGCCAAGAAGTATATTCAGTGCTTTTAGGTAAGATCTAGTGTTGGCACCCAGGCCCTCAACCTCCACCGCAGACCGCTTGCGGATTGCCCCATATTGGGAGGGGCCCTTGGTGCCAGTCCTCAACCTTCCCCAGAAACTCACCGTTAGCCACCCGTGACGTCATCTATTCCCTATAAGACCGCATGCATCAACCCTACTCCTTAAACCCGCAGACCATGGTAAAGCCCACACTGCTAAATCTTAAGCCCCAAACCCCGATTCCTTAAACTGTAACTAAACCCAAAGGTGAACAATTGAAGCCTCAGACCGTAAACCGTAAATCCCAAATCTCTAAGATCAGGCGTGGACCTGGTCAGGGGCAAGGCTGTGGCCTCCGTGGACTTCGTGAAGGACGCTTGAGGGGGGTTTCAGATGTGGGAAGAGGAGTTTGGGCCTTGGGGTGCTTGGGGGAAGGCCTCCACACCTTGCGTTTAAGGCCTCCCTGAAGCTTTGGAGATTGGCAGTGTGAGGACAAGGCGTCTGCTGTGCGCGCTCGCTTTGCGGGCGCAAAGGCGGCCTGAGAGGAGCAGATCTGAATTATTTTGCTATTTTGCAGGGTTTTTGGGGTTAGTCTTTACAAGGGACCATCAAGAATGCTAGACATTAAGGTTCGGCCAGGGTCTTGGGGCCTGGCAAAGGTGTAGAGTTTTGAGCCTGAACTTCCGAATCCCTTCATCTTCCCGTTTTGACCAGTGACCCCGCCCGTGCGGCGTAGGCCGGGGAGGCGGATCCTGCTACCTGTATAGACGGGTGCAGTGGCACTGCCAACTCAACGTGCATGGGGTTCCTGGGTACAAAACAGCTGTTTTCCATTTCGAGGTGCGCGCGAAAGCATGGCGCGTGCCCCGTTCCCCCCCGGAAGTGTGTACAGGACCGGTATACAGTGGCAACTCCCTAGATGAAGGTTTGGGGCCTCGTCTCCGGGAGTGCGCACTCAGCACTAGTCTCCAGTCCGCAATGTGGCTGACAACGTGGCCGTACGCGTTCGAGGTGAAAAGCTTCTTGGAGCAGGACATGGCAAGAGGGACTTTGTAAGTCGAGTCGTGAAGCCTCTACGTATCTGTTTCTGGTGCCCCTTCCGAAGCTGTCTAAAGTTTTTTGCTATTCCCAGTAATTTTTTGAAGCCGGCCCTGCTGGGGCTCTTCAGTATTCCTGGCATTCCATCCTAACAACTGCAAATTACGCTAGTCTGGAATTTGCGACACTTGTGGTGTTTCCTTTGCGTGCGTACATAGTGGTCAAAAGTATAGAAATTTGAGTTTATACAAGTGGGCTTTCTTGCAAAGAGCAGGCTTCAAACCAGTGGAAGCCATACACCTTATGCACCTTCAAACCTTCAGAGAGGGAATGGACCCCGACAAAAGACGAGTCCCTTTGAATCCTGCCAGGAGAACCGCAATAAGCCTTCGGTAAGTGCCCGTGAAGCACAACAAACCGCGGGCCCCTAGGTGCCGCGTCCACACCACGTACTTCCTTGCTCCCATCCTCTGCGCTAGTCCCTAGCCAAAGCCGCGCAGCTGCAAACCCAAGTGGTGCGTAAGGATGCCGAGCTATAGGTTTCCGAGCTTCAAGGCTAGGGGTTGGGGCTAGTGTAATTCCATGTTTGAGCGCCGATGTGTCCTTTCCAGGGACAGTACTTATCACGGCTGAGACTCCCCCATCAGGTCAGGAGTAAGTTGCTTGCAGCCTAGCATTCCAATACAAACAGCCTAAGATTCCAAGATCGCTTGCCAGCTTGATCGTCTTGTTCCTGTCGTTTTTGAGAACCGTCGTAGGCAGCGCTTATGCTGTTGTTTTCGGGAGGCAGGGGCATACTATGTCTGCTCGCTTCTGTCAGAACTCCAGATCAGCACAGACTTGTTGAACACCTTCCCATGCTTTTTGCGGAGAATCTTTGCAAGCTATTCTGCAAACGAATGTTGGTTGAGATGCCAAGGCGGCTGCAGATTTTTAGTTTACATGATGTCTTTTTGCAGTGATCCATACCATGCATCATGATGTCTGAATTTTCAACTTGGTGCAGCTGGACCGCCCTTCCACCACCCAGCGCGCTCAGACAGGTTCCCCGAAGACGTGCATTCCAAGTCTTCCAAAGAGGGGGGCAACTTGCAGTGAGCTCGAAACCTAAGCATTCCAAAACAACAGACCCTGCAGTCAAACAAGACTCCAAACCCTCGCCTTCTGGATGAAGGTGGGTATACCCCACGGCAATACAGGAGCCTTGAGACAGAGGCCTTACACTTTCAAAGCGTTTACTTCTACATCCTTGAAAAAAACCCAGAGCCCCAACGAAACACAGCCAGGTGTTTGGAGACACAGTTCCAGTTCTCCACAGTTGCCAGTAAAGCCGCCTCTGTGGCGCGGCTTTCGGAGATTTTCAGGCAAAAGGGGTTCAGTGTCAATAGGGTTGCGGGTGTTGGGATTTGAAGCATTCGAGATTTTTCTGCCTTCGAGTCTGAGATCTGCAGCTGAGGTGCAGATATTAGGAGCAAAATTTTGGTCTTTGGGTGGTTTTCCTTTCTAAGCTACGCAGGGAAAACTATTTCAGAACTAGTGGAGAGGTTGGCTGGCAGCGGTCAGGATCGGCCAACGTTCAGGATTGACATGGGGTCATCATCCATCACTTCATAAGCGACTCGCGGTCAGCCTCAGTCATATATCCTTTCCAAGCCCCAGGTAGGCCCCTTCATCTCCCTTGCAGTGGCAGCTGTTTTTTTTGCTTACGGGAGGGTATCAGAGTATTGGTTTCATGTTCTTTGTATTTCAAAGCAGTACTGCTTTCATAGCTTTTTTGCCAGCATCGTGGCCGGCGTCGTCGTCCGCATTGTTGTCGCTGTTAGTATGGTTAACATGACGCATGTGCTCTTACATAACATCTCATCCTTTCCAGGATTGATGAAGAATAGAAGGAAGCGGGAGTCTTCTTGAAGCAAAACTCCGCTTATGTTAGGAAATCATGGGCCATATTAGCATTTTTGCAGAACCGATTGACGCATTCTGGCTGCGTGGGGGGCAGCTTACAACGGCTAGCTTAGAAACCCAAACCCTCCTTAGCCTTAAGCCTTTTAAGCACGGCACTCTGCTGGGCCCCTGAATCCCGGAACCCTACGCCTTACGCCTTCACTCCGAACCCGTACCACCTTTTGCACGTCCGCGGATCTGAGGTTGCCTCGGCCGTTTCTCGGCGGCAGTATACTTCCCGCCAAATCGGGCATGAATGCAGCGCGTTCACACGAATTTGTGACAAAAAGTGATCTGATATGGCCACCAAAGAACTTGCACGATGTCATGTCGCGCCCCCGCTACCAGGAAGCAACTGCTTTGTTTTCCAGTTTTGTGATAGCGATGTGCTGAGAGAGGTAGGGTTTTCTTGCCAGCAGCCAGGGTGTGAATGTAAGCAGGGCGCCATTCCGGTAGTACCAATAAGAAAGCCCCAAGGGCATGAATTCAACAGAGGCTCTGGACTAGCCATCCTGCGTAAGTTCATTTCACTAACAGCAGAATCTTGTCTTGACGTTACTGCAT